GTCAAGCGAGCAGGCAGGAAGAGAATGATGCCAAGGTTGCTGCTGCTGGCTCCGGCCGTAGCCCAGGAGCACTGCCTCCGGCTGGGTCCCAGGCTCAGGGCTCCAGGACACACTGCCTTCTCACAGGGACACGGAGCAGCAGATCGGGCTGAAAGCCAAATCTGTTCCCAATGGCTCAGTTCGCAACAGCCGAAGGATCTTGTTTGGAAAAGGATGTTCACGATAAAAACACGTGACTCTCTCAAGAGACATGGGAATCTTCCAGAATCTGTTTTTCCCTTTTAAGTTTTCCTATTGGCTTTTTCCCCTCTTTGCCCTTTTGTTTTGTCTCTTGGGGTGGAACTGAGAAAGCATAAGCTCAGTGATTCGCTGCGAGCTTACGTTCTATTCAGTTAAACTCAGGTTTTGTGCCCAGGCAAAAGGTGAATGGTACAAAGCTGGCTTAATTTACGTGTAAATATTTGTAACGCTGTTACGGTATATTCGTAATGCCGAAAAAGCCAACATATTCCATGGTTTTGTTTGGCACTTGCTCTCAGAGTTTCTGCCACGCTGAACAATTTAAAATATCTGATCATTTTTGTGGGTGGTAAAGAAAAACCTTTCCTGTTTCACTACTTAAAATTTTTGTAGCTGTTTTTTTACTTTGTCCATTTATCTCTCATGAAACCCAACGAGAGCTCTTGCTCTCCATTCATTCTTCCAACACTGAAGTCTGGAGTTCCTCTGACGTTTACTTTGGCATCTACTTCCTCAAGCAAGCACCTTAAAAAAAAATTAAAGCTGAAAGTGGTACCCCACTCCAGACTCAAGACATAAATTCAGGTATTGATTTCTAGGAACAAAGATTTAGTGAAAAAACAAGACACTAAAGTTACAACAGAGCCTACAAAATCTAGGTTAGCTTTCATACTATCAATTCAATTAGTTGAGTTAGACAGACATTCAGTTACACAGCTCTTCTATTCAAGTCATTCCTTACTGCCAACGGCAGTTGAGGGAGGAACAATAATTTCAGGGAATACCTGGGAAACAACAAATATTCCCTAAGTCACTGACACTCAAAACAGGTCTAAAATTGTGACTGGGCATTTGCAATTATTTAAAAGATTGGTAGGAAGACCAACTCCACACCATCTTATAGTTCTAGGCTTTAAAAAACAAACAAAACAATCATCCCCCCCAACATATAATACTTTGCCCTACTATAGTTAAGGCACTGGATTGAGAGAAGGAAAAATCTGTGTTCAATTTCTGGTTCTGCTATCAACTTCCCACGTCACCATGGGCAAATCACCTACGACTGAGAGCTCACACACACCACATTACCATGCATCAGGTGAGCCACACTAGTAAGTCTGTTTGCACACATCTAACACATGACAAATGCAAGGTAAGGTCACTTCATTTAACTCTGTATGGAATAAATTTGCATTACATATTGCTTTACCTTGCATTTGCTCTGGATTAACAGTACATAAAGATAAATTCAGGCAACAAAAGATGCCTGATGGTTAGTCTGTGCCCCTACATTCCACACAACACTTAAGTATGCATGCAAGTGGTTTTTAGTCCTTCATCTTTATTTCACTCACTCCCCTATAAGCATCTATTCCTTTCTTGTCTACCTTCAATGTGTAGATCATAAATGGTTGAAGATGTTTTCACTATACCTAACACACAAGGTCAATGCCTCAGTCAGGGGTTTAGGGACTCCTATAATACAAAGAAATACTACAACTGATTATCTAAATTTGTATGAACTCAAGTTCCCTTCTTGGCAGAAGGGTGCACTGACTCAAACACTGGATTGCAGTCCCACCAAAGAAGATGATGAGGAAAGGAGGGCTGGCCCAATGAGAGAACTACCACCCTTACACTGATAGGCCAGTTACAAATGTAATGGAAACAAGTGAGGTTGCAGCTCAGGGCATGGTATGTATTTCCCTTTGAACTCTGAGGAGGCTGAGTTTTCTGGTTGGGTTTGCCTTCTGTCCTACCAGAAGCAGGCATTTCCCTAAGTACCAAACAAAGTGCGTGTAGATTAAATCGCTATCCAGAACGGAACAATATGCCCCCAAAGAAGCAAAAAGCTCTGAAAACACACCACTGCTAAAGATCTGCCCAACCTACTGTTGGCACTAGTCTGCACCAGTCTCTTGTGTTGCTGCAAATCTCTCCCATTTACACTTGAACGATCTAGAACTGTCATTTCAGGACTGTTAACTTCCTGCCCAATTGTTTCCCTGTCCATTAGACTGAGAAGTAAGTAGCTTTCATTTAGTGTATTCATGACAACCTAGTAAGCATTTCCTTTGACAAGCAAAATGCACTGTTAGTGTTTTAGAGGGCTTCCTTTTTAGTTCAAGGCTTTTCATTTGTTTCATCAGGTCAAATGTTCAAAATTAAATTCTGAAACACACGGCCAAAATAACCCAACCCACAAGTACCACTAAAGTCACTGGAGCTAAAGGTGGGATGAAAATATTCTACAGTCTGGACTTGGCTTTTGGAGCTGAAGTTTACAACTGGCTGTGCTAGTCTCTGTGTGCCTATCAGGGTGAGGAACATCAGGGACACAAAGTTCTTATATCTCTCAGAATATAGCCTCAATTCACCAGAAATTTTCCTGGTGGCTTAAATAATTCCTATTAGTAAATCAGAGTGACTGCAGTTGCATTTGCTAATTCCAGTGAACTGCTATGCTGACTGGAAAGCCTGCTCAATCTTGACTTGCTTGGCAGCTTACGAGGTTGTCCCAGCACGGTCTAGATTTGGAAGGTATTCTAAAATGTTTTGTTACCTTTCCTAAAGGTCCTGTTTCTACTTGTCAGCTAAGCTTACCAGTACAGCAAGAGCAATTCCGTGAAGCTTCAGTTTTAATGTGGGTTGGTTTGTTTGTTTGTTTTTCTCCTTTTAAATGAGACTCATACCTATTCCAGGGATTCTGGGGGAAGATGAATGGAGAACATGTCCTTCAGTCTCCCAACACAGATTAATAGCAAGACATCAAGTCCACTGCAGCATGCTCTCAATTTAGAAAGTGCTGGTGCTATAAAGAGAAAGCCATTGATTATTCATCCTGGGTTTATAATACTCGAGAGCAAGTACGAAAATGCAGCTTCTTACAAGAGAAAAGCTGGGGCTTCTAAGGCTGTAGCATTTAGAACATCATTCCAAAATCCACAGACTTCCAAAAGGCTCTATAATTCTAACATAGATCCAAACCAGGAATGTGTCTTATTCCAGTTCTGCATTAGCTGCAGGGTTTGGATTAGGAGCACCTGGGCAACGTAGTTTGTGGCCCAACAGCACTTTGTGGCTGCACTGGTACTTAACAGAGACACACATCTGCAGGTCCTGGGCTGAGGTGGTCTGTCCTGCTCCAGCACTGTATTCACGGTGGAGACAGCTATTTTTCCATAGAATGCAAGTTTGGTGTGGGACTTGGGCTCTTCAGAATGGCCTTTCTAGAAACATTCAGTACACACAGCAACTCAGTTTACCACATCACTGCTTAAACCTTTACTCATCAACCCTCACAGCAATTGTGATGTAGAGAAAACTCTACACAGATGGGAAATTAAGGAGTAAATTCAGGGAGCTGTCCTGTGTGACCTTGAGCATCAACAGCAGAACCATAATTATAACTCAGAGTATTCCTAACTCCTAACCCCGTGTTAAACAACATTTATACCTGGATTGGGTACATAAGACCTTGACAAGTTACATGGGAGGAAAAGGAAGGTGAAGAAAGGACATTATTTCTGCACAAGTGGTATTTTCAGATTAAATGGAACCTCCAACAGCCTAGAGCCCAGCTTCTTTGCATCTTGTAATCAATTCCTTTTTCAGAGATATGCTGTTTGCAATTCCCATCTCATAGCAGAAACCCTTCTTCTTTGGAAAAGAAAGGAGTAAGACTGGCTTTTGCAAACCTGACTCGAGGCAGATCAGGAGAGCACAACTGTAGCCAAAAAGCCCAGCTCACTGAGAATAGTGTAGAGTGGGATTCAGGTCTTAGTTACTGGCTCTCATTTGCACACCTTTTGGACAGGTGGCTAAACTGCTCAAAAACCAGACGAAACGAGGGGATGCAAAGTAACATACTAACTTCTTTAATAGAGTCCAATCCAATTAAACCAAAACCACTCTGTGAACCCCTGGGTTTATTCACACTAAACAAGTCAGTGGTACATAGTGTTAACGCGATAGCTGATCGTGTTTACACCCTAGGTCCCCACATGAAAAATGAGCACCAGTCAACCAAACTGCAATGGTATTTTTCCTTCCTTTTTTTTTTTTCTTTTTTTCTTTTTTCATAAAACTATCTTTTTCATAGACTTAAAACAATCAACTAGCCAAGTTATTAATTATGGTACATCTAAAAAAAATTAATACTAACCCTAATGTGACTGCTGCTTTAAGAGTGCTCTGTGTATCGCCTTAGACTGGCTTTTCAGTAGCAATTCACTACAACAGGTCCTAAAATAATAATAATAGAGAATTAAAAACCTGACAGCAAGTTTAAAGGCTAAAAGTAACAAAACCAACCTGTTCTGAATGGTGATTTTTCTCAGCAGTTCAGTCCTGCTGCAGCACTCACAGCCTCACAGGTGGCAGAAGGGGTTCAAATTCTCTCACCTTCTTTTAAATTTTTCTGGTTTATAAGGACAACTGCATTGTAACCTGCTAGGTACCACGGGGCATTTTACTTAATGTTATATTCAATAATGGGTCAATAATGGGTCTGTTTTTTAAAACTTACTGTTTCTCTGGGGTAGGTTAGGGAAGGTGGGGAATAGAGAGAGAACAAAAGCATAGCTCCCTGTAGCTGTAGCTCCCCAGGTGCCTCAGTCACTAGGACTGTCTCATTCTCAGAGCAGTGCTGGCAACTTCTGTTTATTCTAGAAGATCACGAGGAAACACCAGCAGCAGCCTCTAAAGCTCCTTTTGGTGTTTTAGGCCATGTCTCCTATTCAAGGTCACCATCTTCTGTCATGTACCAGCTAAGAAGCATTTTCTCCCTCTCTCCAGTGAAGGTTCAAAGGTGGGGTAGGGCATGAGACAAAGAGGGAAGCTAAAATGAGTAAGAAATTCTCAGCTATAGAACCAAATTTCATTATTTCCTCTTTCATTCACAGCATCTTATCATTGGAGCCAGACTGCTGCTTTGCTTTGTTGAGATCCAACTGATCTCACTTCCCCTCTGGCCCCATTGGTTGCTGGTCGACCTCTGGATCCACTAGGGATGATGCAAATGCTGACTGGACGATCTGAAACCCAAACGACTCCAGGAGAGACATGTTCTGTTGGGGTGAAAAGGGGGATCCTAGGGCAGGACCGAGGTCCCCCAGTGGGCCACTAAGGGCCCTGACGTGAACTTTCTGTATGTGTTTGTTCAGATATGACTTGGATCTGAAAAAGCTGCCACATTCAGGGCAAGGGTACTTCTTCTCTCCTTCTGTCTCCATTTTGTTTTTGCTGACCGCCATCTCACACGAGAAGGACCCGTTGGTGCTCTGTTTCTCAGGAGTCTTGAGGTCACTGGTGTCAGAGAGGTCTCCGTACGAATCAGAACTCTCAATCGGGTCCGAATGTGAACATTTCTGGCCTTCTACGGGAAAAAGAAAAGAGAGAAGTTTTCAGAATCTCATCTCCCGAAAAAAGTATTTAACATGCATTAAAATAAATCGTAGTGGTTGCCTCCCGGTTTCATTAATACCTGTCATGACAGAGTAATACACACTTGTCATCACAATCCCTCAGTGCTAAAGCCCTTGCTGGTAGGTCCTCTTTACAAACCACTGGGCTGCTGTCAGAGTAACATCCAGCTTTTATGATGGATTTGTCATGATACTGAATGCAACCACAGTGGGTCTCTGGTATATGCAACACTCATCTGAGTCCCAAAGATGTCTCACAGCGTTTATACCTCAGGGACTGTGAAAGGATGGAACCCAATGATGAGTTGTTAAGTGTGCAATTCACTCCCACACTTCTGAAATATCATTGATATTTTGGGGGTGAGCCTAGAGACCTAATAAAGTCTAACAGCAAGGTGTGAAGAAACCTGGAAATACTCAGCAAAACAGCAGTGAGGTAATGCAATTTAAGAAGTGAAATTCCACTTATGTCTTGAGGAACTCTTTTTTTACAAGCCAAGTGCAATGCTGTTAGAAGTGAACTTTATAATCTAAAATTGTTCCATCTTTAAATACCGTAGTGTGAAACCGGAGAGAGGTTAGGAACTCTATTTTAAGTCATCTGGATACGTATCCTGGCAAAGCCATTGGTATGTTTGGAGCATTCCCCATTCTCCTCTGGCATAACGCCAAGGAAGTTTGTCCACACTTTGCACTCAGCGCATATGAATGAGCGTGGGAAACCCAGACCTACTCCCTAAACAAGTCCCTGAATACAAATAAGCTGTATCTCCTATTAACTCTAAAAGACCAAAGGACTGCTTGGCACAACCCAAAAGACAGATTTGCTCTGGACTCGGCATTACAAACCAAACAGGATATGCATGAAATCAATACACCACTGGGCTGGAGTAAATCTCTTGTCAAGTCAGCACACCACCCAAAACCAAAGGGCTTCTGTAGTAACTCTATCAGGACTTCAACAGAAAAAAACTGTAGCTTTCCGCTGGCACAGACTTTGTTTAACCCAGACTGTTTAAGCCTGCTGTGTTCTCCTGGGCAAAAAAAAACCAACCCACAACCTAACTTTCTGGGACAACCATGGTTTTGAACAATTTTCTGATGTTTCAGCTTCAGCAGGAATACTGACCACTCAAACCAAGAGGCAAAAAGCAAGCTATTCTACACAGATTAACACACAGCTTTACATATTCAGAAGTTAAGGACTCTTTAGCTATTCTTACAATAGTACCTTCCCACTCCTTGCCCCCAGAAATTAAATGCAAGTTAAAACCAAAAATAACAGTTCTAATCACCCTCCACCTCTCCTCCCCACCAAGGGCATTAAGAAGTGTAGTTTAACTACAAACAGTTGCATGGATGACTATTGCTTTCACCACTCAAGAATCTTCATCAGCTGCATTCTGCAGCTTCCCCTTCCTTCACCAGAATCAGAAACATGGTTTGACTGACACCAGATTCAAGTATAGTGGGACTAAGGAAAACCCTCAAGGCAAAATTCAAATACTGACTGCTCTTAGGAAGATGGTCAAGATGAGCTAACGTGGCTTTTTCAATCTCTAAAATCAAAGAAACTGCCAAAAATTCATGTACCCTTACATGTCCATCCCCTTCCCCCAGACTCGTTAAACTGGCTGTCCTGCTATGTGACGCTACGTAATTTCTCTGCATGTCCCTAAGCATCTCCCCTGTCCTTCCTTCCCACCCCATCCTCATGCCCAGCCCCGCATCCCACAACGCAAAGTTCTGCACAGAGCAGCAAGGTGCAGAGCAGCGAGTCTCTTGCCTTTGATGCCATAGGTCCTGACGCAGTGGAACGCTGCTCCCCCATTCGGGATGGACTCCTGGTGCCTGGAGACCTGGGGAAGGGGAACACCGTGGTGGGTTTTAACATGGACCTTTAAGTAGGAGGCAGAGGAGAAACCTAAACAAGATAAAAGGAGATGAGATCCTGCCACCAGCAAAGACACGCATCTGCCTTCCCTGTTCTTTTAATCTTTCTCCCTATTACAAAGCTGCCACTCTCCCAGCTTGATGGCTGGTTACCTACCGCGCCCTCAAGCAGCACTCCTAGTGGATGCAAAGCACACCCTTCGTTAGGCTTCATCTGCTTTTTGGAAGCCACAATTAAAGAACAGCCTCCCTGAGAAACAAATCCTATAAAACTTCCTAGGAGAAACAGCAAGAGACATGTTATAAAAAGGCACCCATGTCTCTTCACCCTTTTTGTACCATTTTATTTATTTTAATTTAAAATTCCTTCATCATCTGATAATACTTTGGAAGACAGTTCAAATTGGTTTATTTTATGCTGTTCAGATTTAAAGGAGTGCCATTGCCAGTGCACACCCCTCTGAGGAGTGTCGTGTGCTTTCCCCTGAGGTTTCTAGCATTTATATGACTCCTAGAAGGCAGAAAGCTAAGCTACTGAGTTTTTAAGGTATACACTTCTGTTCTCTAGTAACTTTTGAAAAACATTCCCTCCATTCAGCTCATCCTGAGTTTTAAAAAAACATAATAAACCTCGTATTTTATCTGCAGTTAACAAAAAAAAAAGGTTAAAACAAAGTTTCGGTATTTCTGTTAGCTCTGATCTGTAAACCCAAAGGACTGAAATTAAAAACATATTTCAAACAACCGATTTCTGAACAAAACAGTATTTTACATTCATGCATGTGCTTTTTAGAACTGTTTTTGAAGTCTCACAAACACAGCCTTTTCCTTTAACGCAATAAATTACCTCACATATATTTTGGAACGTTTTTAAATTCAATTTTAGTACGAGTTGCAATTAGTACCTTTGGACCATATAGGAGGGCACAGGGAGGACAGAGTTTTACACACTTCCTAAACAGTAAGTCTATCAACAACCATCTTCATTTTCTGTTACGTTTCAAACAGAATATTATGGCACTTTCACATTAGAAATGTTTTCCTTTAACAACTGAGAACACAAGTTTTACCATCACAGAGTTACATGTTCCCTTTCTGGATAGGGAAAACCCAAGACTAGATTTTTTTAAACCAATGCAGCATTTACAGCACAAGCCCTTGCAAGAGAACTTTCACAGCAATGCTTCGCTTCGCATTTGAACAGATACTGCTCTAAAGCCATTTTATAGCGATACAACTGCATTTACATTTGAGGATATTTAACAACACATTAGGAAAGATGCAAACCAATCCTGGCACACCTCTCCGGGGTGGATTTTCTGACAGCGGCTGTTGGTTTCAGGTGCTGAACTTAACAATGAATGCAGCTTTACACTAGAGTTCCCTGTGCCTACCCAAGAGAAGATCCCTCTACACAGATGTTCCTTAGATGCCAGGATCCAAGAGTACTCAGGGGTCACTAAGACTTATACGTACAGGATCTGCAGAGCAAGACAGACCTCCACAGCAACCTGCTGAAGGGGAAAAGGGGCAGGTTGCTGAGAACGAGAGAGTTACTGCAGACCCCTGAGCTGAAGACAAAAGTACAGAAAAGCAGGTACATCACGGCTGAAGGAACCAAGAGCATATGACTCTCAAAACACAAGGGGGCAGAATCACCTAGGCCAAGTCATCCAGGATGTAAGGATATCATGCTCTGAAATAATGCAAGACCTACCCTCAGACACAAAATGCTGTACTGAACAGCTTACTGGGCCACAATGTTTTTCCAGATAGCAAAAATTCACTATAGACATGGAAAGAACGAATGTTTGACTGGTAGAGAAAAGGACACGGAGCACAGATATAATGGTGACACTTCCAGCTACAAGGTACTTCCCTTATTTCATACATGTGTCTAATAGCCACATGCATGCTGAGATAAGCCTCTTCATGCAGCAGCACGTTAAAATCTCAATGCCAACCATTAAAAAAGGACTTCATACAGATATTCAGTGTTTTTCTGTATCACAACTGACACAGGAAAATCTGAAGTTAAAACCTCTGCTATACAATATTTTCCCTGAACTCTGCAATTCTCTTTGTACATTGTTTTATATAGTGAAAACTGCCTGCAAAGTGTGTTCACTCCCCTTGATGCACTTGGCAGATGAACATGTGAGTCATCAACTTCCATCACAGCAGTAAGCATGCCAACTGCTTCACAGGAAACTGTTTAAAGTGAGATTGTCTTGTTGTTTGGTTTTATCTTTTTTTTTTCCCTGAAGCAATTAGCACTGGCCTTTTTTTTTTCCCCCCACCAGACCTTAATTATGAATGCCTGTCCTAGGAAGATGGGGGATTCATGGACAACATGCTTTACTTTAAAAAATGTCTTTAAAAACAAAGTCAGGCTAGTGCAGAGGACAGAGTGGCAGTATTTTTTTTTTAAGAAGGAATGTATTTATTGCTTTACCCACACACATCTCTCAACTTTGCAGAGCAGATTATTTCTTTCATTCCTGAGGAACCGACATTAAAAGCATGTATAGAGAGGAAATGATCTGCTTTATATAAATGGGACCTATCCCTTGATCTCTCAGATCATCTGCAAGGAGACAGACTATAGAAATACTTGCAGGATGCTCCTTTTTAAAAAATTCTAATTTGGATATCGCTAGAACATCTGGAAATGTGTCTTGCTTTAATCAACTCTGTATCCACCATGAATATACAAGAATTCATCTTATTGTAAAAAAACATTTCCATCTAACTTGTGATTAGAATATTTACCCTTGTCCTACCTCATTTGATTCCTGTGAAACAAACAATGCCTATGTGTCTGCAACAGAAAATGAATCTTTTGAGTTGCACATGTTACTACAAAGTACCAGTTCTAGACTTGCCAAAGTCATTAATCTCCTAAATTCTTTGAAAAAGCCCACACAAGCAAATAAAGATCCTGAGGATGGTAATAGACGATTATGTAACAACAAAGCAGGAACAGGTCTTTCTCATTTAAACTGCTTAAAGAGTATTTGTCTTAAAAAGTGAGGATTGAGGATTAGTTTTCTTAAGCACATTTTAGATGAATTCTTAAAAAAAGAAGAAAAAAAACCCAAAACAAACCAGAAAATCTCTGATTTAACAGTATTTAATTGCTTCCATAATTATTCTAAGCATAAAGACCCTAAGTAAGAAAATAACCTAGAAAAAACATCAAACAACAGATAGTAATTTTTGGACATTATACTGCCATTTTGTAAAATAAATAAATAAAACCAGCACGGCAAACCAGTGGCTACTGCTTTCAGCCAGGTACTGAGTTCCCCACCTCCTAAATCCACTACCCCTTCAAAAGCACATGAGATACTAGATTAAGTGCCACAGAAACGCCCTCAGCCTGACGGGATGAATCGAGGGGTTCTAAGCTCCATATTTAACACTAGGATATGTTCAGCTGTGTAGGAGTCACTGGTTCATCCACTTGGGATTTTTTGGTGGAGCAACATCCGAAATTCTCTCTACATGCAGCTTTAGGATTCTTGCTTGACAATTACTATATCCAGAGCTAGAGCTAGCTAAGTTCCAGTTAGAAAATACACCAGCACGTTAGCTGAGGGAAGAATAACCCAAAATCCCCCCGCACAAGCATCACAGCCAGGGCACAGCTGCAGTCAGGGGACAGTGCGTAGCTTCTGACAGCACCAACGCCTATCAAATAGATGTTGCTAATCCAAAAATTTTCCACTACACTTCATCTTGCCAGGCACTATAATTTAAGAGATACATATTTAAACCAACGAACATCACAATTTCATTTTAACAACACTTTGGATTAAGAATTCTGCTGTCATGGATCAAAAAACCTACAATCAAAATTCACAGCACATATCAATGAGTTCATAACACGGTTGTTTTGTAACTTCCCTTTCCTATGAATGTGAACAATGGGTAGATATTTAACGACAATTGACCAGAATAATACATTTCGTACGTGCTGATGTAAACTGAGATTCTCAGCAAATTCTGACAACACATATGAAATACACAAACTGTAAGAAAAAAGCAGTTACTTCAGGTGTGCTGTACCACAGGTTCCCTATCCTTCTGCTGAGAAGTGTGTATTTTATTTAAATTTCCACCGCAGAGTGAAACCTGTAAAATGTGAATAAACCATGTAGTCATTTCATTGTTTGAATGCCAGATCTGTCTTTGTCACGCTGGCTGGATTTCCAAAGAGCTGCAGTGACACCCAGTGGCGGTTAAGTTGAAACTCAAGTTTACAAAACGAGGCAATTCCTCCCAACCCATATGAATTTCTGTTTGGCACCATGTTCAAATGAAGGAGAGCAGGATTGCACCTGGATCTTGGATAGCGTCTTCTTCCATGTTGTTACCACAAAAAAAAATCGGGATAAGCTTAAGCAGTTTTTCAGAAGATAGGCCAAGCTTCATTTTGTACCGTCTACCTGGAGTTTCAGAATCTGATGATTTTCAGCAGAGATGCCTATTCCACTCAAACCGTTAGCATCACTTTCAGGACTTAACAGTTCAACTGCTGGAAATACCTCCCTCACAATCTAATGCCTCTCATTACTCATCAACTCCTAGTCATCCAAAAGCTCCTGTACAGCCCCCAGATGAAATCAGAACAGCTTTATTCTCTCAAACGATTTCACCTCCCTTAAATTAGAAAAGTGAATGCACATCAAGAAAAACGGCTCACTAGAAAAAAACAGATCCCAAAACACAGCAGTGATCTCTTCCTGCACCTGATAGGTATGTACACCTGTGTGAGCCAACAACGTATTCTGAAGTTGTGCATTAATCATTCAAAAAAGAGACATCAGTAAGTCAAAATTATTTTCCAGCTTGCCTTACATCCCACAAGCCCTGAATTTACTACTCTCTCTAACTGAGGAGTACCACAGGCACACAGAAAAGCTTCCAAATTTCTTATTCATATGGTTTAGTTTTAGGTAGTCCTGCAAGGAGCAGGGTGTTGGGACTCAATCTTTACGGGTCCCTTCCAACTCCAGATATTCTAGATATTCTATGATTCTATGAAAAGCTGTATCTGTACAGATAAAGGTAAAGCACATTTCTAGAGCTCTTCACAAAATTTGTTTTAGAAATGTACATTAATACAAAGCAATTTCTTGGGTTAGGAGGGAGAAGCAGCTTGACTCTACTGCTGCACCAGGAGGTTAAGCAAGACTGATAACATCATGTAGATTTTTTTTATGTACAGTGCATCATTTTCCACTTGGTGTGTATTTCAAAGATTATTCTTCCACACTGAATGCAAGGACTCAGGTCTAACCAGGTATAGAAAAATAAAGGTGCATGGTGAATAGTGGCAAGGCAACATACCATGGTTATTTTATAGGGATCTGGCTAGTTAGCAAATAAAATTCTTAAAGCTGTCAAGAAACAATTTGCTTCAGATTTAAACTGAGCTTCTTCAGGAACTATCAGCCATGTAAAAAGCCAGACCATCACTTTCAAGGGTAAATATTCACTAAGAAAACAAAGAATACGTACACACATAGGGCACAACCTCCTGTTGCAGAGAGTCACGTAGCCTTATAGCTCCCCCCCGAGCATCGTCCCATCCCACTGAAATAAAAAAAGACAGTTCCTTCATTACCTCGGTTACAGATAGTGCAGAAATTGCTTGGTCCTTCACTGTGTTTCTTCAAATGATCTGCCATATACGCTGCTCGCAAGTACTTCCCACACACCTGGCAGGGAACTTTGTCTTCATGACATGCTAGGTGTGAGCGCAGTCGGTCACGAGTGGCAAAGGAAGCATTACAAGTCTGCAGGTATAACGAGAACCACGTGACTCACCAACTCTGCTAAAAGCACTATACAAGATATTGTCCAATCTACTTAGTACTGTTTGAATACCCTAGACCCTGTGCAAACACACAAATGACACGATGCACGAGCCACTTTTCCACAAAAAGAAATTCTGCTCACCAACATACTACACAAGATATGATGTTACTACTCGGAAAAATTCAGAAAGCAAGAAAGCAGCTCTAACATCCTACAGACAGTAAAACTTACATCAAGATAGAGTTTTAAGGACTTAGCTCCTCTCTGAGGATGAAGATACTAAAACCTGAAGTATTATTTAATACAAGAAATAGCCCAAACCACTTCATTCCATGTATAGTAAATTCTGCCATGTGACTGGGAATTACAATCACTTTAGACCACTCAAAATGCCCTCTCTGTTACCTTCTTAAATTTTACTCTTTGATCTGATCAATCTAACTTCAGTACACAGAATCCCTTTGGAATACAAAGACATACAAACAAAGCATCAGAGAATTGGCTGGGATGAGAATATGATGAAAGACAGTAAAAGAGCCATCCTGGAACCCACGGTAGGAGTGCAGACAAATTGTAGAAGTGAAGCCTCAGAACTGAGCAGGTATCAAAATAACTGCATGACACTGTAATCTGTTTATAACTTACCCCTGATCAAAGTATCATATTCCACTTACTACCGTGAAGCAAGCTTGATTTGGCATAAGATAATATTGATTCTACTTGCCCACTTCCCAGACATAATCCATATGATGAGTGAAGGCTCCCTCCCAAGTTTGTAAGCACAGCAATTGGCAGGCATGCACGTATACAGCCTGCTACAACAGCCTGCCAGTTCTGAAAGGCTTGCTCTCGAATGTGTGGAGGAAAAGAAATCACCAGCAATACACTGTACAAGTTATTGAAGATATAGTCTGAAACCACTGCTCACAAGTGCAAGAGGACAAATGCAAACATACGCTAGAATGACCAGACCAAGCAGGCAACAGTGACATTCAGGAGTGTATGGTGTTTTGCCATACCACCTTTATATAAAACAACGCAGTTTTAAGATGTATAACCAGAATCCCTTAAGAGATAATATGAGGCTATTAAGTAACTTGGGAACTGGATATATTCTGTCTTTTCAGTATCAGCATGTAACTAAGCAACTCTTCCAACAGAGATAGACTTTAGTTAAAGTAACAATCCCAGAAAAATTATAAAATTGTAACTTCGAATATGTGAAACTGATAATGCAGAAGAGGATAACCCATATAATTTTATACGATTTAGTTAATCAAGAGCTTCATCCAAAAAACACTGACAGCAGCTGAGAAGTACCTATCAGTTTCAACAGGCTTTACGCTCGGTCGATCCTGTGAGATGCTGAGGCTACTCTGCAGCAAGCACAAGGCTTAGCACCTCAGAGGATCAGGACATCATGAACTTAAAAAGACAACAGCGAAATTGTCTGGGTTGCTGCAATACACACAGTTTAACTAAACTCATCAGACAGAGATTCCAAAACTACAAGTAGTTCAAGGATGTGTCTCTTAATCTTCACATGAAAGATTTCTCTTAATTTGAAATCCCAGTACACAGCGCTGAGCAAAACAGGGGCAGCTTTCACTTACTAAAATGTTCTTAGAGGTAAACACTTATTTAAAGCAGGATTCCAGCATCGATACTAATCAATCCAGTGGATATCAACTAAAGATATATAACTAGATAATCAAAGATGACAGCCAAGAGATCCACCCGTAAGCCTAAAAATTGTGGGCCACAGTAAGCATCCACACAAAAGCATGGGGAGTGCATCAGCTGATGAAGCAGACCAGAGACAAACCACATAAATACAGGGATGACAGAGGTAAAACCGTATCTGTCCCGTATTGAACTTATCCAGTTGAAAGCTTAGGGAAAGGCAATAAAAGCGTTTCTGTGTTTGATTTCTCTTGCTGAGTTGTGCCAAGTTCACCTCTGGATAAGCTATATAGCAAATATATCTGCAAAGAAGCTTAAAAAAACAAAAAATTAAGTCCAGTGGAGAAAGCAAGAACCAGTTTAGCTGAATCATAACAATGGGAGACAGGACTAGGTTTAAAGAAAACCCCAAAGTTAATATTCAAATAGTTCATATTTATAAAAGGTATAGAGGGAAAAAAAAAGTTTCATTTTACAAAAGATTGAAGTGCTAAATATTTATCATTAATTGTTAATCAGAGAAGAAAACTCTCCAGGGCTTTCCTATCAAACATTGCACAGGTATATAAATAGATCAAAAAGAATATATATAAAGTTTAAAAAAACATTGTTTAAGAAATACCTCTTGAAGGTTCAACTTTTCTATGGATGTGGATGTCTCTGAGCTTATTCCATGGTGGCTGCCATTTTCCTGCTAATAGGCAGGAAGTAAGAGAAATTAGGACAGGAAGAAACTCATTCTGCATTGAAATCAATGGGAAAAGCACTGGACTTGGGATGCCAATTTTAGGTTTACTTCAATAAATAGATCTTTGTCAAAAGTTGTGCTTTAATTTAACCTGCATTTTTCCCTTTTTTTTAATTTAAACTGCCAGAAGAGAATAACCTGTCTCGTCTCTGAGAAGGAGCAAACTTCTGTCTTCTCTCCTTCTTTCATGTCCACAGATTTTCAGATCACCATTTCCTCCCAAACTGCTGCCTAACTTTCATACCACTCCCACTCAAAAGCCAACAACCCAGCTTCACCCCTTCCCATGACAAGTTAGCAAACTGAGCTATCCCGTTATGGCCAGAAAACTGACTTACCCCATCTCCTACATCCAGAACCCAACTGTCAGATCAAAAAAGGAAAAAAAAAAAAATCACCAGTGCAACAATCCAGGGGAAAAGATCCAGAGTGCCATTTGGTGTCTTGTCAGGACACGAAAGCAACTTCTTGGACCCGATTTCTCAGCTCTGTGGAGGCCTTCCCTATTCGGAGTCTATTTTAACAGCAATGAAAAAGCTGGAATCAGGTCTATGTCTGGCATCAGGTGCTACAGGTGCTGGAACTTATGATAGTTTTTGAAAGACTGGTGAAGCACAAGTTTATTTTAAGGGGGTGAGTGCAGGATTACATGCTGAGAACTGAAAACTATAGCTGTTGCAGTGAAGTTCAGCTTAAAATTGTCCTGCTTCTTGTAGTTTCATTTCATTTATTCTGAAGTTGGGTTGACACCTTCATGTTTTTGTTCTGATAGTCCAAAACAGTACCATGATTCCACATCAATGAGACATTAGATATCCACTGATCTGCCAAGATACCTGAGGGCTCATGCAAATGGCCAGTGGATTTTTTTAAAATCATAACAGCACCACTTCCAAGAATGTCATTACGACAAAGGATTCTGGAAAGCTTTTCTGTTTACTGACAGAGTACTTCTCTTTTGCAGTAAACATAAACAAAGCATGACAATAACAGGAATTTTCAACAGGAACTCAGATTCAAAAAGGATGCTTGATGCTGTTCAGGCCACTCTCATGGGAGCTAATTGCCAAACAAAATAATTGGAAAAAAAAGAATGGAAAGTGGGGAAACAACATGCCAATATTAAGCTATTTTCTTTCTTAGCGGACAGATTCTGTTTAGATACACATCAAGGAACAGAAGTGTTACTGGTTATGAGACAGTCACAAGCAGAACTTTATCAATTTATACATCAGCTGTCAGATTTGAAACAAATTCTCAGTGTGATAGCATCCCTTCCATGGTTTGTACCATGTATATCTGACCTGTGCATACTTAAGACTTTCTAAATCTGACAGGATATTATGAAGCATTTTTGCAAAGACACACAGCAGTCCTTTAACTCATTTTCTACACCTTAAGATTCAGGAAAAATTAACTTGGCAGGGTTAAGCAGTCACAAATCAAGATCAAACCAAGCCTAAAGGACATCCTCAACTCTGTCTTGATGCTAGAAACCTATAGCCTATACCTTTTAACTGAAATGAACAGTCCATACAGTATTACGGCATTTTAAACAACACACAGTGAGAAGGACTGTTCTTAGAAACTGCTACAACAAAATACATGTGTGCAAGGAGATGGAGCTGAGCTTGGCTGTACATACAACCTAAGCGGCCACATTTCTTGACGTTCTCACTTAGTGTATCCTCTGATTCAGACTTACAGGGCTTGTATTTAATATTCTTAAATCAATCAGAAAGCTATAAAAAAAAATTGTTAGGTGTCAGCTGGTAAAAGACTGGCAAGTTTCTGTTTGTGCTGGGACCTAAACATTCGATTTTGCACTTGCACACACATACCTGCTTCTGGAAAAAAATTACAGTTAGCGTCAGTTCATCCACCCAGACCCCTTGCTATCTCCAAATTGTGAAGTCTTTACATGAGTGGAATTTTCCAGTTTATATAAATCTATAACCCCTAAATCACCTTAAGCAGCTTAAACCAATCTAAGGCTTTATATAGGGTATGCAGTTAAATCAACGTGAAGGCTCTATGGCCTGATTTTCAAAGGTGCTGGGATTCCACACGTCATATGGAGGTCAACAGAAAACTTCAGATGGCTCTGTATGTCTGAACAACTGTTCACTGGATTTTAAAGTTGCAAAATGTTTCCAAAATTCCAAAATTTGGAGGAAACACAGGAGAGGTGCATCAAGAGATGGGGGAAAAAAATGCAGATTGGGAGGCAACAGTCATGTAGGACTAAGTTCATGAAATGTGGTTAAAAATTTTAGAAGAAAAAAAAATCCACTGACCTTCACTGTCTTTAAAGGAAATGAAAATTACCTGCTCTGGCTTTCTTAAAATAAATAATTAAATAACTCTTTCTTCAGAGACTGAGCATGGAGACTGTCAGTCCAACAGTCAACTTCAGAAGTTTGCCCAACAACCATGTGAAGGCAGTGGGTGATAGCGAAGCTGATTCCCAACTTTGGTTTTAATTAATACTTCCAGGCACCTTTTAAATCTCTCTACAAATGAATTACAAAATATCCTTCTTGATTTGATCTGTCAAAGCCTAATGAATAATTTATGATCTGTAAAAAACTATCCACAACATTATGACATTGTATTGCAAAGGATACCGTGATGCTGTTATCTGTATCTCCCTGGGACAAAAATAAGCTTCCAATTTTGCTCAGTGCAATGTTCTGAAGGCTATGTGATAAAAAAGCATGTCTTGGCAAGTCATGATAGTTTACCAATTTTATTTGAAATTGTTCTTAAAAAAAAAGGTCAGCATTGGAGCCTTCTGTTGGCAACAACTGCAATAAAAAAAGGGGAGGGGAGCGGTGGAGGGAATCATCTGTGACGCTGACTCTAAGCCCAGGGATGAGGTGGCTGGGTAGGAGATCCAGGGTGAGACTGGGATAGAGCAGTAGGGAAGAACATCTGGTAGAAGGGAGGGAGGCAGGAGGACCAAGCTGTAGATGGCACAAGGGGCTGGGGGACGGGAGGGATGTAAAGCAGCTGTCACTGTTGAATGCTGTTATTTACAAACATTTATCCCAATTCACACACATGGTATTTTTACTGACACTTCGTAATTGTCTGCACTCATAAATGCAATGCCAAGGATCACCCACACACCAGTCTAAACCCCTCCAGCTCCTACCTGACACTTGTGAGGTCTCTCTGAGGTATGCACCTGTTTGATGTGTCCATTCAAGTGGTCTGGCCTTAAAAGAAAATACACATAAGCACACTTAAAACAAATACTAAAAATAAACTTACAACTTTAACCAAAAAAAAAAAAAGAGAGATAAGATCCCAGTGGTGGATCTACCACAAATGCAGTGATATTTAACTTTCCAAGAACCAGATCACCAACCGCTGGGACTCTACCTTGGTAAGCACCCTCTCCAACTTGCTAAAAAGCCAGCATTTTCTCAGGAAGAAATGATCAGAGAGCACAGGAAACACAAGCTACGATTCAAGCCTGCATGTCCCCTTCCAAAATCCTATTTAGATCTTGACAATCAGGGCACTCTGATTCACAGTTGCTGAGTATTTCAAAATCAGACCCTTTCGGTTTATGTCCCAAACACGGATGTAAGAAGCCAACTTCAAGCACCGCTGTGCAAAAAGACTGACTCGAAACACTGTTGCTGTGACACAATTTCCACCGGCAAGATGAAAAAATCCTGTCCTAACTCACAACCTGGTGGGGAGACTGCAGTAATACAAATAGAGGGCTCTGAAGGTCCCAGCTAGAAGGTGCAATGGAAGAGCAAATTATTACTGAAAAAGTTAGATCATTCTTCACGATCAGTAAAGCCTACTTTGAAGAAGAGAGGGCTGAATAGCTGCAGATTTTCCTAGTGGGAGTTTCTCCTAGTGGGAAGAAAGCTTTTCATTGTATGAGGCCAAAACTGCTTGGAAACAAGTTCTCCATCCTCTCCTCCCCCAACTTTCCCGCTGCGCCAATGGGAGGGCGCGGGATGGAATTCACGCACTGCGGACAGAGAATAACTGAACTTTGCAGGCAGGCTGTTAAACCTGATGCTCCAGCAAGCGGGCGGGAGCGGTGTAACCGGAAAGACTGGTTGGAGGTCCTTCTAGGTACCTCAAGCCTAGCAACCTCACGGGCTGCGCTAGTGAATGAGGGAAAGGAGACTAAAATTAGACATCGTGCTTCCAACCTCCTGTGGCTGCTCCTGCGTCTGAATACGGAAACTTAAAGAGTCTCTGCTTTTCACTCATCCTTGGATTTTACAAAGATGCGTAGACGTTTCTGGGGTTTTCTTTGATAACAGCTTTCCTGCCTGTTCACATTAACTTACTGGGAACTTAACATCTATGTTTCACTTTCCCTTGCTGACAAAAACCTTTCGTACAGCAACAGCAGAAATCTTCAAGTGTGAATAAAAATAGCAAAAATTGGCAGATGATCCCCGGTAGCACTATGATAAGAAAAACACTTTCACTTCTAGCTACAGATGAAGTTTTCATTTTATGACTTTCCATCGCTAAATCTGCAGTCCTGATGAAGATGCATCCCTAATTATTGCCGATTACCAAAAAAAGTCTACATTTTCTGTTTATTTCAATAAGAAAGACCCTCCATCAAACAGAGAGCTAGCAGGGGCACAACTCCTACAGCTATACAGATGGGACAATTCTAACCCTACTAGCTTTTTGTTTTCCCTCCTGTTAGAGCAAATCAGCTGCTGTAGGAAACCGACTGCTGCTACAAAAGTAACACAGAGTGTGCGCATCCCCCTCCCCCCACTACTTCTGGTCTCAAAGCGAGCATCAAACTTCCAAAAAAGTTTCGAATTCGTTAACTCAGACTACAAGATACCACTAACACGACTACGTGTATCAAACTACTTATTAAATTAACTCCCACAAACAGCGACAACAAAAAATCAGCAACATTAAATGCACAGATCTTACGTATGTTGCAGGGCAGAAACAGGATCCCCTTCAGAAGGATGTAAACCCAAAGGACACAAAGATCATGTATTAAAAGATACTTGATGCTGCAGCCTTTGAAATCTCACCTCTTCCTTCACATTTGGGTGATAAAAAACATTACGAACTAAGAGAAATGAAGGGAAGTTAAGAAAAAGAAAATTTAAAATGGATACGAGAAAAATAATAATCTTGAGATGTATTAATATTTTGCACTTCAACAGCACCTTCAAACTACCTACAAACCAGGAGGCTCAGGACACCTATGTGAGGTAGGCAATTATTTCAATACCCATTCCACAGAAGAGTCAGTTGAGGGAGAGACTGACTGATTTGCCCAAGGACACGCATCCACCAAGCCTGGGAAGATGCTGGGAATGTTGCCCAGAAGCCAGCCGACTCCCAGTTCTGTGTCTTAATTACTTTTAAACCCTTTCAAGAGACTGTAGAACAGCATCCCAGTGGAAATGATGGAAGTCTCCTTTCTCGAGACATTTTAAAATGGAACAGTCAAACTATCCTAAGCACAAATTGTTCTTGTTTCCCAAGGGACAGGGAAGACAACTTCCTAGGTCTCTGCTTGTGCCTACGGTGCTTGTTAAGTACCCTCTTACCTGGAGAAGCCTTTTCCACAGCTCTGGCAGATGTAGGGCTTTCCCACAGAGCCATCGTGAGATCGCACATGATAGGACATCCTGTCTTTCCGCTTGAACCGTAAGCCACACACCGGACAAGAATACGGCTTCTCGCCGGAGTGTGACAGCTTGTGCCGATTTAGATGGTACACGTCCCGAAAAATCTTGCCACAGATCTCACAGGCCACCTGTTTCCTCGTCCTGCTTCTTTTTCGGGGTGCATCAGGGTCATCCTGACCAGGGACACCGTTTTCACCCAGTCTTGGGGTCGGAATGTCTATGTAGCCCAGCTGTAAGCTTGTCACCCCGTGTTGAGCCTCATGCTGCCGAAGACGATTAGCATCTGTAAATACTTTCCCACAGAGGCCGCAAGGCAGGATACCAGCCTCTCGCAGGCCCCCCGGGGTACCGAACATCATGGAGTCCAACAGATTGGCTTTACGGGGACGCCCTCTGCCCCTCTTGGTGCTTAAAGTGGGGGCACTGGCAGCAACGTTCTGGAAGGGCGAGGCCAGCAGCGGTGGGGACAGAGGTCCTGCCACCATGGGCAGGCGGTCCACCCCCTGCAGAACAGGCAGGGAGGACTGGGCAGCAGTGAGCGCGGCCCGCGCGGCCTCGTCTTCGGGCATGCCGGCAATGCCGTTGCCATTGGGTGCCAAAGTGGCACCGTTGGTCATGTCAAGAGGGAAGCCGAGGTCAGCAGCCCCCGGACGGAAGAGCATAATGTCGGGGCGCGCGGGGGGCACGAGGATCTGCACGTTGGACTGCTTGATGACCTCCTGGC